GATTTTCAAATTTTCGGGAGCAAAAAAAAAAAAAAGTTGGGCCCCCTCCCCTAAGAAATCCTGGATCCGCGCCTGATTGCAAGTAATGTCATCGTCGCCTAATTCATATCCAGAGTTACATGAACAGATGTAAGAGCCGACTAAGTTCATACACACTCCATTTACAGAATCACAGGACGATGGATTCACAGAGCATTCGTCAATATCTAGGAAAAGTAAACATCTTTTAACCATCATCAGTCAAGTAGTTCCAAATTGGCAACAATTATTTGTATCTCCACTCTTTCATGGAATAAAAAAATAAAAATGGATGTTAAATGAAAGTATGTGAATTAAAAGCACGAAAAATCTACAAGAAATTGACAATTTGTACTCGAAAATAGTGATTTCAAATTTAGCTCTCTATTGCTAATTAAAAAAAGTTAAATGTCTATTTTCAGATTAAAACGTTATTATTAATGACATCTTATACAATTCATAGCGTCTTTTTTACTTTTTGATTATGTAAAACTTGTAAGTTAGAGCATTCTGGATCAAAAGAAGTGTAAACATGTCACTAAAAGGTGATACTAATTTGCCAATACATCCTTACCATAGCAAGATTGGGCATCATCGCCTACTTCATATCCAGAGTTACATAAACAGATGTAAGAGCCGTATGAGTTCATACACATTCCATTTAAAGAGTCACAGGGTGATTGATTCGAACAGCATTCGTCAATATCTAGGATAAGTTAACATTTTTTTTTCACCATTAGGAGTCAAGATTTTTTTTAAAGTCTAGATAAATCAGCTTTCCTCTTAAATTGGCAACAATTATTTGTAACTCCACTCTTACATGGAGAAACGATATTCTAGTGTATGTGAAATGCGAGTGTTTGATTGAACTTATTAACTGCACTTATGCGTCTGGCTGCATTTTTTTATTAGCTCAGCCGGCTACCGCTTGCGGCGGGCAAGCGGCATCCCAAAAGCATGCGCCGAGCTTCGGAAAAAAAGCTAGAAAACATGAGCTCAGCCGTCTGCAGCCGGCGGGAGGACAGCGTCATATCATCAAATATGCACCGGCTGCAGCCTCTCGCATGGAAGCCGAGTCTCGTCTAAATGAGGTCGTCTGGCCGCCGCCGGCCTAATTGAAACAGCTACCCGCCGCCTGCTACACCGCCACACCCGGCCAAACGATACCTTTATGAACTAGAATTTAATTCGTCAGAGAAAAAGAAACAGCGCCATCTTATCATCACTGATGAATAACTCGAAGAAAACAGTATAGCCTGGCGGAAATAAACATTTCAGATTGGACAGCCTTATAAACCCAACAACAACAACAACAAGTCACTAGAGAAAATTATTTGGTCTCTCGGTTCTAATATGCCTTTATCAATAAAGAGACCAGTCGTACCGTGGACATCTTCGGGCTCACTTCATTTAGTATAGATGCACCCTGCCTGTAAATGGATTAGACGCCTTGTATTTTTATTTCGAAAAAAATAATTTTCGTAACAACCTAAGATTTGCTATTTTAAATTACTGGCTCGCCTATTGTCTATAATATCCAAATCATATCATTGTGTTTATTTTTGTTATGCTGCAATGATTTAAATCATACTATAAACCTTACTTTAAGAATATTTGCTAATCCTGCCTCCTGATTGGTTAAAATGAAGTCGTGTTTTTAACTATGCCCGCCAAAATAAACTGTTTTTAAATATGCCCGCCAAAATGTTATCTTTGTCAAGGGGGGGGGGGGGGGGGGGGGTGGGGGTTAGCGGACATTTTTTTTTTTTTTGGTCTCGAAATTTGAAAATTTGACATTTTTTTTTCGTTGGAGGGGGGGGGGGGGGGGGTAAGGTCACTTAACGTTAGCCGTGGGCATAATTATTATTATTTTTTTTTTTTTTTTACTTTTAAAAAAACAACCAAAAAAAAACAACAAAACAAAACAAAGGGGGGAGGGGGGTTTTAGTTTTTTAGGGGGGTTTACACATATAAAAAATACCAAAGGGGGGGGGGGGGTTTGAACACCCCCCCCCTGCGTTCGCCCTGCCCATATACATCTTTCTATTTACGCGGCTTGTTACTTTATAACCAAGGCTTGGCCAAATTTCTTATCATTCTGATGATTCCAGAACCTTGTAGTACATACCAATATGTATATGTTACATGATCAACCTGAAATATACATTTTGCGCCCCCTAAGTTTCAGAATAATTTGCGGCCCCTCAATAAGATATTAAGTTGCGCCCCCTAAGATTCACAAAAATTTTGCGCCCCCTCAATAACATATAAACTTCCTGCCCCCTAAGTTTTAGATCAATAAACTATAAATTTGCTCCCTTTAATGATATGTAAATTTTGCGCCCCCTGAATTTCGGATCAATTTTGCGCCCCCTCAGTAAGATATACATTTCTGCCCCATAAGTTTCAGAGCAATTTTGCACCTCCTCAGTTTCAGATCAGTTTTGCACCCCCTCAATTTCATATCAGTTTTGCACCCCCTCGATTAAAGTTCAATGAGGATTAATGCCCCACAAAAGGGCACTAATATGGCACATCGACACGGTTTTGATCCTGGGGCTTCACATTTATGAGGTAATTGCTTTGCTACTCAACCATGACTGTACGCAGTGGAGGCTAGGGTTGGGGGCAGTTCCCCCAAATAAAAAACAACAAAGATAATGCAATAAATTATCAATAGTTCATTGGATTTTACCCCAGTCCCCAACATGAAAAAAAAAAACTCTGTACAGCCATGCATTATGACTCAAGGCATGGGCACACAATATATTTTCTGTTGCGGACCGGGGGGGGGGGGGGAATCAATGAATTATTGAAAATAATTGCATTTTTTTTTTTACAGTAATCAACCTTCTCATTTTTTTTAAACACTGTAGCTTGATTCACATTTTTTCAATTCTGGAAGATAGAATCATTCTTAAAGTAAAATTTGTTCGTCGGTTTGTTATAGGAATGAAATAATCAAGGCCACTGCCCTAAATTTACACCGTGTCTTTTATTTGGTGATCGAATGGAGATGCAAAACCCGAGTTGAGAGGTAAGAGGTTTGATGAAATTTTACCTGTTCTACAGGTTGTACCAGTGTACCCAGTTGCACACATACACATCAATGTAGTCAAATCACAAGTTCCTCCGTACTCGCAATCCGAGTCCACGGCACAGGCACCTATAATGAGCAATTTATTATCGTTAAGACTATGTGATGGTTTGTATTCAAGTTCTTTTAACGACAATAAGGACGACGGTAAAGTAAAAGAACACGATGATGTTGATCATTTTAGAGATAACAATATTTATAACGACTATGATGATGATGATGATGAAGATGGTGATGATGAATATCGATGCATATAATGTCTTAACACCAAGTTGAGTAGTATTCCCGTCTTTCGAGATATTGAAATAACTCAGGCAAAAGAGACAAAATACCTTGGTAACAGCATGAAGTTTTTATAGCGATAGGACCCGAGGAAGACTTATAATAATCATTTTTGTCCGACGATTAAGCTTTATTTACACTTTTGTAAGTGTGAAAAAGAAAATGTTCTTAAGATAGAGTTTGTTCTTCAGTTCGTTATGGATATGAAATAATCAAGGCCACTGCCCTAAATTTACACCGTGTCTTTTATTTGGTGATCGAATGGAGATGCAAAACCTGAGTTGAGAGGTAAGAGGTTTGAATAAATCTTACCTGCTTCACAGGTTGTACCAGTGTACCCAGTTGCACACATGCACATCAACGTAGTCACATCACAAGTTCCTCCGTAATCGCAATCCGAGTCCGCGGCGCAGGCACCTATAATGAGCCATTTATTATCGTTAAGACTTATGTGATATTTTATATTCAAGTTCTTTTAAAGACAATGAGGACGACGATATAAAGTATAGAACACATTGATGTTGGGCTTTTTAAAGATAACAGTATTTATAATGACTATGATGATGATGAAGATAGTGATGATGAATAATAATGCATATAATGTCTATATACCAAGTTAAATCTTCTCTTCTAATTTTCTAATCGAGTAGCATTCCCGTCTTTCGAGATATTGAAATAACGTCAGGCAAAAGAGGCAAAATACCTTGGTAGCAGCATAAAGTTTGTATAGCGGTAGGACCCGAGAAAGAATTATAATAATCAACCTTTGCATTTTTGTTGGACAATTAGCCTTTATTCACACTTTTGTAAGTGTTGAATAAAAAATGTTCTAAATATTGATTTTTTTCTTCAGTTCGTTATAGTTATGAAATAATCAAGGCCAGTGTCCTAAATTTACACCGTGTCTTTTATTTGGTGATCGAATGGAGATGCAAAACCAGAGTTGAGAGGTAAGGGGTTTGAAGAAATCTTACCTGTTTCACAGGTTGTACCAGTGTACCAGTTGCACACATGCACATCAACGTAGTCACATCACAAGTTCCTCCGTACTCGCAATCCGAGTCCGCGGCGCAGGCACCTATAATGAGCCATTTATTATCGTTAAGACTTATGTGATATTTTATATTCAAGTTCTTTTAAAGACAATGAGGACGACGATAAAGTATAGAACACATTGATGTTGGGCTTTTTAAAGATAACTGTATTTATAATGACTATGATGATGATGAAGATGGTGATGATGAATAATAATGCATATAATGTCTATATACCAAGTTAAATCTTCTCTTCTAATTTTCTAATCGAGTAGCATACCCGTCTTTCGAGATATTGAAATAACGTCAGGCAAAAGAGGCAAAATACCTTGGTAACAGCAACAAGTTTGTATAGCGGTAGGACCCGAGGAAGACTTATAATAATCAACCTTTGCATTTTTGTTGGACAATTAGCCTTTATCCACACTTTGTAAGTGTTGAATAGAAAATGTTCTAAATATTGATTTTTTTCTTAAGTTCGTTATAGAAATGAAATAATCAAGGCCACTGTCTTAAATTTACACCGTATCTTTTATTTAGTGATCGAATGGAGATACAAAACCTGAGTTGAGAGGTAAGAGGTTTGAAGAAATCTTACTTGTTCCACAGGTTGTACCAGTGTACCCAGTTGCACACATGCACATCAATGTAGTCAAATCACAAGTTCCTCCGTACTCGCAATCCGAGTCCACGACGCAGGCACCTATAATTAGCCAGTGATAATTATGAAGTCTTATGCGATGGTTTGTATTCAAGTTCTTTTAAAAACAATGAAGATGACAATAACGTAAAAGAACACATTGATATTGAGCTTTTTAGAGATAACAGTATTTATAACGACTATGATGATGACGATGAAGATGGTGATGATGAATAATGATGCATATAAAGTCTTTATACCAAGTTAAATCTTCTGTTCTAATTTTCTAATCGAGTAGCTTCCCGTCTTTCGAGATATTGAAATAACGTCAGGCCGAAGAGGCAACATATTTTAAACAACAGCAAGGAATGTGTATAACGTTAGGAACCGAAGGAAGACTTTAATACAGTAATCAACATTCTCGTTTTTGTAAGACACTGTAGCTTGATTCACACTTTTGCAATTGTGGAAGATAGAATCATTCTTAAGGTAAAGTTTGTTTCGTCGGTCCATTATAGGAATGAAATAATTAAGGTATTGCCTTAAATTAACACCGTGTCTTTTATTTAGTGATCGAATGGAGATGCAAAACCTGAGTTGAGAGGTAAGAGGTTTGAAGAAATATTACCTGTTCCACAGGTTGTACCAGTGTATCCAGTTGCACACATGCACATCAATGTAGTCAAATCACAAGTTCCTCCGTACTCGCAATCCGAGTCCACGGCGCAGGCACCTATAATGAGCCATTTATTATCGTTAAGACTTATATGATGGTTTGAATTCAAGTTCTTTTAACGACAATGAGGACGACGGTAAAGTAAAAGAACACGATGATGTTGATCATTTTAGAGATAACAATATTTATAACGACTATGATGATGATGATGATGATGAAGATGGTGATGATGAATATCGATGCATATAATGTCTTAACACCAAGTTGAATCTTCTGTTCTAATTTTGTAATCGAGTAGTATTCCCGTCTTTCGAGATATTAAAATAACTCAGGCAAAAGAGACAAAATACCTTGGTAACAGCATGAAGTTTTTATAGCGATAGGACCCGAGGAAGACTTATAATAATCATTTTTGTCCGACGATTAAGCTTTATTTACACTTTTGTAAGTGTGAAAAAGAAAATGTTCTTAAGGTAGAGTTTGTTCTTCAGTTCGTATAGATATGAAATAATCAAGGCCACTGCCCTAAATTTACACCGTGTCTTTTATTTGGTGATCGAATGGAGATGCAAAACCTGAGTTGAGAGGTAAGAGGTTTGAATAAATCTTACCTGCTTCACAGGTTGTACCAGTGTACCCAGTTGCACACATGCACATCAACGTAGTCACATCACAAGTTCCTCCGTAATCGCAATCCGAGTCCGCGGCGCAGGCACCTATAATGAGCCATTATTATCGTTAAGACTTATGTGATATTTTATATTCAAGTTTCTTTAAAGACAATGAGGACGACGATATAAAGTATAGAACACATTGATGTTGGGCTTTTTAAAGATAACAGTATTTATAATGACTATGATGATGATGAAGATAGTGATGATGAATAATAATGCATATAATGTCTATATACCAAGTTAAATCTTCTCTCTAATTTTCTAATCGAGTAGCATTCCCGTCTTTCGAGATATTGAAATAACGTCAGGCAAAAGAGCCAAAATATCTTGGTAACAGCATTAAGTTGTATAGCGGTAGGACCCGAGGAAGACTTATAATAATCAACCTTTGCATTTTTGTTGGACAATTAGCCTTTATTCACACTTTTGTAAGTGTTGAATAGAAAATGTTCTAAATATTGATTTTTTTTCTTCAGTCGATCGTTATAGATATGAAATAATCAAGGCCACTGTCCTAAATTTACACCGTGTCTTTTATTTGGTGATCGAATGGAGATGCAAAACCTGAGTTGAGAGGTAAGAGGTTTCAATAAATCTTACCTGTTTCACAGGTTGTACCAGTGTACCCAGTTGCACACATGCACATCAACGTAGTCACATCACAAGTTCCTCCGTACTCGCAATCCGAGTCCGCGGCGCAGGCACCTATAATGAGCCATTTATTATCGTTAAGACTTATGTGATACTTCATATACAAGTTTTTTTAAAGACAATGAGGACGACGATAAAGTAAAGAACACATTGATGTTGGGCTTTTTAAAGATAACTGTATTTATAATGACTATGATGATGATGAAGATGGTGATGATGAGTAATAATGCATATAATGTCTATATACCAAGTTAAAGGAAACCAAAACCTTCATACTAAGTTACTTTTATTCTAAAGTTTAAAAGATTTGAATAAAATCAGTGAAAATTTGAACAAAATCGGGCAAGGAATAAGGAAGTAAAGTGTGTGTGTGTGTGTGTGTATTGGGTTTTACAGACGTGTATCAATCAGATATGATTATTTACGTCTGGGGACCGACCTTTAAACGTCACCATCCGAAAGACGTGACTCAGTTTCGAACCTGCGTCCTCGGCTGAATCAGTTTGTAACTTCCACTTACTTATAGCTGGATTACAGGCGCACGCCACAACGCCTAGTTGTGGCGTAGTAGTAGAGCTTTTTTTAAATGACTAGTCACTAGAGGGCGGTATTCAATTTGATGACATCATCTGTGAACAACTCTCCATGCCTTTTTTCTTCAGTTCGTTATAGATATGAAATAATCAAGGCCACTGTCCTAAATTTACACCGTATCTTTTATTTAGTGATCGAATGGAGATGCAAAAAATGAGTTGAGAGGTAAGGGGTTTGAAGAAATCTTACCTGTTCCACAGGTTGTACCAGTGTATCCAGTTGCACACATGCACATCAATGTAGTCAAATCACAAGTTCCTCCGTACTCGCAATCCGAGTCCACGACGCAGGCACCTATAATTAGCCAGTGATACTTATGAAGTCTTATGCGATGGTTTGTATTCAAGTTTTTAAAAACAATGAAGATGACAATAACGTAAAAGAACACATTGATGTTGAGCTTTTTAAAGATAACAGTATTCATAACCATTATGATGATGGTAATAAAGATGGTGATGTTGAATAATGATACATAAAATGTCTATATACAAAGTTAAATCTTCTTTTCTAATTTTCTAATCTAGTAGCATTCCCGTCTTTCGAGATATTGAAATTACGTGAGGCCAAAGAGGCAAAATGATGGTCATTCAAGATCTTTTAAAGATCTTTTAAAGACTATGAGGACGGCGATTACATAAAAGAACTCGATGATATTGATGTTTTTAAAGATAACAGTATTCATAACCACTATGATGATGGTAATGAAGATGGTGATGATGAATAATGATACATAAAATGGCTATATACAAAGTTAAATCTTCTGTTCTATTTTTTTTAATCGAGTAGCATTCCCATCTTTCGAGATATTGAAATTTCGTGAGGCCAAAGAGGCAAAACCACGGCACGGAATTTGTATAGTTTAAGACCCGAAGGAAGACTTACAGTAATCAACCTTCTCGTTTTTGTAAGACACTGTAGCTTGATTCACACTTTTGCAATTGTGGAAGATAGAATCATTCTTAAAGTAAAGTTTTTTCGTCGGTTCGTTATAGGAATGAAATAATCAAGGCCACTGCCTTAAATTTACACCCTGTCTTTTATTTAGTAATCGAATGGAGATGCAAAACCTGAGTTGAGAGGTAAGAGGTTTGAAGAAATATTACCTGTTCCACAGGTTGTACCAGTGTACCCAGTTGCACACATGCACATCAATGTAGTCAAATCACAAGTTCCTCCGTACTCGCAATCCGAGTCCACAGCGCAGGCACCTATAATGAGCCATTTATTATGGTTAAGACTTATGTGATGGTTTATATTCAAGTTCTTTTGAAGACAATGAGGACGACGATAAAGTTAAAGAACACGATGATGTTGATAATTTTAACGATAACAGTACTTATAACGACTATGATGATGATGATGAAGATGGTGATGATGAATAATGATGGATATAATGTCTATATACCAAGTTAAATCTTCTAAGCACATATGTTGGCAACAATTATTTAAGCTTAAATAATATACCAATATTGCGAAAAATAGGGGTAGAGATATAGTTCACATGATAATTCCAGTTAAATTTGTCATTTATGTATACACCAATTTGGCTGATGACTTTTTTCTATTGGAACATTACCAACAAGCAGCACAAAACTATGATTATTGTGATTTCTTGAGTTTCTAAAGTGAATACAATGGTCTTCTTTTGGTTCAATGATAAAATGTTGTTTTTGAACCATTGTGATAACTAATTTAATAGTTGTGATCAGCGAATTTAAATACATTTGTTTTATCGGCAAACAATTGATACTGTAGAACTGGTGAAACATTAAAGATATTATTGACATATATCAGAAATGATCGTGGCCCAGGTATTGTTGTATTGATGATAGGTAATTTTCAAATAAATCAAGTGCTTCACCTCGTAAACGATAATATTTTAATGTATACAATAATATAGTATGATCAAGATTATCAAATGCCTTGCTAGGATCCATGAGTATGCCTATGACATGTTTATGATCAGCCAAGGCATTTGATACTCTATCACAAAGTTGTAGTAGTACTAAATCAGTTGATGAAACTTCCTGAAACCAAACTGATTTGGGTTCAGCGAGTCATTTTGAATTAAACATTCATATAATTCTTTCAAGGATTTTATAAAAGCTTGGTAATATAGATATTAGTGAATAGTTCGACAAAGAAGAGGGTTTTGTTTGTAGATTGGTATGGTGATATAAATATGAATATGTAAAGATAAAAAAGTGTTAAATACATTTGACAGTCATGAAACACGTATATAGTACCACAGGAGTTTAAGTGTTCTGGGTTTCCAAATAAAAGGAAGCTTTCATTGCAAACATGGCAAATAACTCAGCACGTTGGTATTTTGTAAGCGAACTAGCGTGAGTAATAATGTCATAAATGATGAGGCCGCCATCCATCTCCAGCCTAACCGCTCACGATGGTGGTCTCCTGCGTTCCAAATTACCTCTCTAATTTATTGAAAATATTTCATATTTCTTATGTTATTGTATGCTTCGTACATGTTTATCGAATGATATAATTGTACATGATTTTTCATTCAATTACTTTTGTAAACATTGTATTCATTGTATTTGTTATTGTTCGAAATTGTGTAATTTGACTTTGAATTTGTATATTTTTGAACGCAGAAATAAAATCAATCAAACAAACAAATAATGAAAATGTATAATGAATGTCAACATTTATGAAATACATATACAGTACCACATGAGTTGAATTGTTCTAGATTTCCAAATAAATGGAAGTTTTCAATTCAATCATGGTTGTAGTACGAGCTGCATCTACATTTAATCCACAATGATTCAACAACAAATGCACTTTAATGCGGGTCGGGGTTGCCTCTAGTTCCCCGAAAATTTAATAATTACCAATATTCGGACAGCGAGCTGCCCGAATATGCATTTTTTAATATTTCATTTCTTATATTTTGGTGACATATAACACTTTCACGACTTACATACAAATGCTCAAATTTTCGTTCGCCAAATTGTGAAACTGGAAAATTAATATTCGGGCAATAGGCTTCAGCCCCCCTGATGAATATGTCAACAATTTTGCTCTCGCGCTTTGTCCGTAAGCATAAATTTAAAGGTAAAACGCCTCCCTCTAACAAAATTAAATGGAAGTTCTTATTACTAATCATGTGAAAGAATGTGTTTAGACTAATACGTGATGATACAAATGTTGATGGTAAACCGCCTACTAATTGATATATTTGGTAAATTATCATATTTATTTTTTTCTATTGGAACATTACCAACAAGCAGCACAAAACTATGATTATTGTGATTTCTTGAGTTTCTAAAGTGAATACAATTGGTCTTCTTTTGGTTCAATGATAAAATGTTGTTTTTGAACCATTGTGATAACTAATTTTAATAGTTGTGATCAGCGAATTTAAATACATTTGTTTTATCGGCAAACAATTGATACTGTAGAACTGGTGAAACATTAAAGATATTATTGACATATATCAGAAATGATCGTGGCCCAGGTATTGTTGTATTGATGATAGGTAATTTTCAAATAAATCAAGTGCTTCACCTCGTAAACGATAATATTTTAATGTATACAATAATATAGTATGATCAAGATTATCAAATGCCTTGCTAGGATCCATGAGTATGCCTATGACATGTTTATGATCAGCCAAGGCATTTGATACTCTATCACAAAGTTGTAGTAGTACTAAATCAGTTGATGAAACTTCCTGAAACCAAACTGATTTGGGTTCAGCGAGTCATTTTGAATTAAACATTCATATAATTCTTTCAAGGATTTTATAAAAGCTTGGTAATATAGATATTAGTGAATAGTTCGACAAAGAAGAGGGTTGTTTGTAGATGGGTATGGTGATATAAATATGAATATGTAAAGATAAAAAAAGTGTTAAATACATTTGACAGTCATGAAACACGTATATAGTACCACAGGAGTTTAAGTGTTCTGGGTTTCCAAATAAAAGGAAGCTTTCATTGCAAACATGGCAAATAACTCAGCACGTTGGTATTTTGTAAGCGAACTAGCGTGAGTAATAATGTCATAAATGATGAGGCCGCCATCCATCTCCAGCCTAACCGCTCACGATGGTGGTCTCCTGCGTTCCAAATTACCTCTCTAATTTATTGAAAATATTTCATATTTCTTATGTTATTGTATGCTTCGTACATGTTTATCGAATGATATAATTGTACATGATTTTTCATTCAATTACTTTTGTAAACATTGTATTCATTGTATTTGTTATTGTTCGAAATTGTGTAATTTGACTTTGAATTTGTATATTTTTGAACGCAGAAATAAAATCAATCAAACAAACAAATAATGAAAATGTATAATGAATGTCAACATTTATGAAATACATATACAGTACCACATGAGTTGAATTGTTCTAGATTTCCAAATAAATGGAAGTTTTCAATTCAATCATGGTTGTAGTACGAGCTGCATCTACATTTAATCCACAATGATTCAACAACAAATGCACTTTAATGCGGGTCGGGGTTGCCTCTAGTTCCCCGAAAATTTAATAATTACCAATATTCGGACAGCGAGCTGCCCGAATATGCATTTTTTAATATTTCATTTCTTATATTTTGGTGACATATAACACTTTCACGACTTACATACAAATGCTCAAATTTTCGTTCGCCAAATTGTGAAACTGGAAAATTAATATTCGGGCAATAGGCTTCAGCCCCCCTGATGAATATTTCAACAATTTTGCTCTCGCGCTTTGTCCGTAAGCATAAATTTAAAGGTAAACGCCTCCCTCTAACAAAATTAAATGGAAGTTCTTATTACTAATCATGTGAAAGAATGTGTTTAGACTAATACGTGATGATACAAATGTTGATGGTAAACCGCCTACTAATTGATATATTTGGTAAATTATCATATTTATCTGGCCTGGATAGATATATGGTAGTCCCAATTACATCTTTCTGTGTACAGTGTTTATAACTTTACCAAGACTGGGCCAAATTTCTTATCATTTTGATGATTCCAGAACCTTGCAGTACACACCAATACTTATAGGCTAGATGATCAACCTTTTCTCATCGAATCCACAACGTTTCTTTCACAATGCAATCATATGACCAGAACTGGTCTTTACCTTTAAACCGGGGAATGTGGATATCGGACAAGAGACGCGACGTGAGCCTGCCCCCTTTCCGAAAGTATGCCCGATTGTAGATACTTGTAAGGTGCTTCTAATATGACCTAGTCAGTATTGGTATGTCCAGTTGAAATAACGATCTACACCATGTTCAAATTTCCGGCCCCCGCCCCTTTTGGAAAATCCTGGATCCGCACCTGTACGTGTAGAATGATTATGTGGGGGAGTGTGTGTGTTTGTGCGCGCTAATATTTGTGGGTGTTTTCTACAGAGAAGATGTTATCATTTACCTGGCGATGGAGCTTGACTGGTAGATCCCTGAAATTCGGATCTTTCATTTAATCATCAAATTTCTAAATTCAAAGAAAATCATTCAATGATCCATGAGTAGTAGGAGGATTCAATTTGAATCCTCCTACTACTCATGGATATCATTAAAATGCGTAGTTTGATGTTTACGATTTATTCTCATTGGAGGATGTTATATACTGATACTGTCGGTAATCGTTCTTTATGGTTTTACTTTACTTTAATTCATGTGGTTAATTTGATATGGAAAAACAAATTCTCTCTGACTATGATGTCATGAATAATGATGCGGATGATAGAAAAATAATAAGATTGAAAACGCACGGTTGTTGCCTCACCTGTCATACTTGGAACACCTGCGAATGATATGAAATGAGATAAAATTAGAAAAAATTGTAATAATTCAGTTTTTGTATCCCAAAACCTGATTAAGGTTTTAAAGTTGGCAACTAAATTTTCCCCAAAATTAAGAGTAAGAGTATATGGAGATATAGAAACTACCTTTTTATTACTAGTTGGCAAATAGTTGTTTCTTCAACAAGTACCATAAGAACAACTGTGGTAAGAGTTTTATATAATCTGAAGAAATAATATTATGTCATGGAAAGGGAAGAGAAAAAGTTCTTACAGCACAAGAGTCTTCTCCTAGGAACGTATATCTGGCTTATTTTCCCGCCTTTTTAAAACAATTGACAATCTATTTGGTAATAAATGTAATCTCGTCTCAAATGCAAAAACCAACCATTTGTTTGTACCATTCATAAAAAAATTAAATACGGATAAAGTCAACCCCTGCTACTTTTGCTTGAATTTTTCCGGAGCATTATCATTGAACTTTGCTTAAACAAATAATTTTGATATAATGATATGCCCTTCTAAAAAATAATTTCTTCAATTTTTGCTCCCCCATCCCCAAAATTCACAGCAAGGGCTTCGTTGTGTTTATGGTGTATAAACATTTCGCGAAAGATACTTTAGCATCGATAGATCTCTTCTGATAAATGAATAAGAAAAAAAAATCAGAAAGATTAGTTTAAAGAGCTAGAACAAGAAAGTGAGATAAAAAGAAATTGAGAATAACTTGAGAGAGAGAGAAAGAGAGAGAGAGAGAGATTAAGGAGAAAGAAAAAGACAAGAGGAGACAAGTGGGAAATGATAAAAGGAGTAAAGTGTACATAATCTGATAAAGACAAATAATATGCTATTTAAAGGCAGGGCATCAACTAGTGGCTGTTTATGTTCTAGAAGGGAAAACCTTTAAACAAAGTGTAATGGGCATTACCCTTGACGTAATGATATTTGTTTGTTTTATTTATTCACCATGTCAAATAATTGTTACCAGATAACAAAATTCAGTGGGTTGCATCGAGATCAGGCGCGTACGCAGGGGGGGGGGGGGGGGTTTGGGGGGGTTTAAACCCCCCCTTTGGAATTTTTTTGTGTGTAAACCCCCCTAAAAAAAAACCTAAAACCCCCCCCCCCCCCCCCCCCCCCCCCCCCCCCCCCCCCCCCCCCCCCCCCCCCCCCCCCCCCCCCCCCCCCCCCCCCCCCCCCCCCCCCCCCCCCCCCCCACCCCCCCCCCCCCCCCCCCCCCTTTTGGATTTTTTTTTTTTTTTTTTTTTTTTTTTTTTTTTTTTTTTTTTTTTTTTTTTTTTTTTTTTTAATTATTAAAAAAAAAAAAAAAAAAAAAAAAAAAAAAATTATTCCCATGGCCGACCTAAAAAAGGTGACCTTACCCCCCCCAACGGAGCAAAATGTCAAATTTCCAAATTTCGAGACCCCCAAAAAAATTTCCAAATTTCGAGACCCCCCCAAAAAAAAAAAAAGTGTCCTCTTACCCCCCCCCCCCCCCCCCCGCTTATTCAGCGGTCGGCTGAGTCGTTGCGATTTTTTTGGGACCAAAAAAAAAAAAAAAAAAGTGTCCTCCCCCCCCCCCCCCCCCCCCCCCCCCCCCGCTTATTCAGCGGTCGGCTGAGTCGTTGCGATTTTTTTGGGACCAAAAAAAAAAAAAAATGTGTCCTCTTACCCCCCCCCCCCCCCCCCCCCCCCCCCCCCGCTTATTCAGCGGCTGGCTGAGTCGTTGCGAAATTTTCGGACCGATTTATAAATGTTAAAACCCCCCCCTTGAAAAAATCCTGCGTACGCGCCTGATCGAGATATACTACATAATATGAACAGTGCATGAATACAAAAATATTTGAAGCGCAACGTCCCTATGATAACAAAGTTGATGATTATTAGGTTTTAATAGATAGAACATGGCTTAAAATAAGACATTATGTCGTTACAAAAATAAACAAAATACAACATAAATGCTTACATCAAAATCATGCCCCTTAATGTTTTTGAATAACAAGCAAAAACAATATAATACACATCATTACCTTTCTGGACAAAGAAAGCACTATAAAAAAATGTACCTCAAAACCAATACCATAACCGCTCAAACGATTTTTGTTGTATTTTTCTTTTGTATGCCAAATAGCTTTGTTTGGTTTCTACTGGTATTCTTAAAAATATCTCAAAGACATGATGCAATAATTCGTCGCTGTTTTCACGAAGTGACGGTAGTAAAAAAAAATTGCATTCACTTTGCGTTACGATTTTCCTCACTACCGTCACTTCGTGAAAACAAGGACGAGTATTGTCTCCAATGGCTTTGGCGATCCCATTTGCCTACTTACATGTATAATCAGCGTAGAAGTAGGCGTACCTCCCCTGGCACGTTGAACTCTCATCGCATGAGCCAGTGATGGTACATGGATTGCGAGTCTCACAATACGCAGCATACGGTACCGTCGTCTCGCCACTGTTACCACATTGACTCTCCAGAGAGGGGCTCGGCGAAGCGCAAGGATATTGCCTCACACATGCTACTTTGGTGATTCTGATCGTCTCTCCTGGGTCACATCTACTGATCGTGATCGTGATCGGCGGACCACGACACGATCCAACTTTGAACATGAAAACAAAAATGCACATGCATTACAAACTAAAAAGAAAATACGTAAACAATATAATTGATAATAATTTGGGAGACGTAAACAATGCATTTATAAATAGTTTTACATTAAAAACTCAGCAATTGTGTCTGTTAGTTTGACCTAAATCTAACAACGGAAAGAACTCCTGCACCAGCTGAGAAGTTATGTTGATTTTACAAAGAACATGCCCATGCTTTTGTCATTCACGCTCTCGATGGGTGCAAAGATTCCGAAAATCGGCCAACGAAGTGAGTTTTGACATGATTATTGTTAAAAATTTCCCTTTAAAGGTACAGACATGGTTAGCATGTAATGCTATTTCCTGTTAACGTTTATCCATTCACGATCTTTGTTAAAAAGGTAAAGACCAGTATTGGAAACGCCCCAATTTCAAAAAATGAAATGAAAGCTCCTATTACCAATCATGTGAAAGAATATGTTTTAACTAATACATCATGATATAAATTTTGCCGGGAAACCGCCTACTAATTGATATATTTGGTAAATTAGTTTATCTATTGTTATGTGAGAGATAATAACGCATCTTTCTGTGTACAGTGCTTGTAACTTTACGAAGACTGGGCCAAATTTCTTATCATTTTGATGATTCCAGAACCTTGCAGTACACACCAATACTTCTGATCGATTCCACAATGTTTCTTTCTCAATGCAATCGCATGACCATAACTGGTCTTTATCTTTAAACATCCATTTATAATTGTTATTGACTTAAGCTGTCTACACCATCACTGGGATGTATGATGGCTTCTGTTTTACTACGGCTTGCCATGCCTTCCTATCTTCTGTCAGCGTAGTGGCATTAGTCAGGGAGTCAAGTTGTCTGTTGTTGCAGTCCGCCTTGACACAGTCCGTCCATCTCTTAACTGGTCTTCCCCTTGGGCGTTTGTCATGTACATCTCCGTATAGAAGGATGTGGGGGTACCTTTTTCGATTCATTCTGTAGATATGTCCAAAGTGTCTCAATCTTTTTGTGGCAACCTTGGCGATGATGGTTTCTTCCACGTTCCGGGTGTGTTCGTATGTGTGTGTTTCTTATCCTGTCAAGTCTGGTCACACCCATGATTCTCCTGAGGCATGCCATCTCAAGGGTACGAAGTCTATTTTCATCGACCTTCTTAAATATCCATGTTTCTGCACCATATAACAGAATAAACAACACCAGGACATTGTACAGTTCTACCTTTGTTGAGCGGCGTATATCTGTTGATGCCCAGTTTTGTGTTTGCTTGGAATGCTCCTCTTGCCTTTCCAATTCAGTGCTGTACCTCTTCTGAGCAGGATCCTGTCATTGTTCCTCCCAGGTAAGTGAACTTATTTACTTGTTTTAGCTGCTTTCCTCCAATGCTTATATTAAGTAGTTGAGGCTGCTTGCTTACGGCTTAGGTTATAGTGTTAGATTGATGTTTTTGAACGTTAGGAAAAAAAAACCAAACAACAAATGGGCTATCCGCCGTATATCTCATTTATGTATATATTTGTATGTTGTGATGATTTTATACGGAAATTAAAACAAACAAACAAACAACAAAACTTATCTCTATGTTTCTACCTTTCTGGGGTGGGGGGGGGGGGGGGGGGGGGGGGGGTGGGTGAAAGTTTTAAGCTACACTATGCATTATCTACGCGTTTCATACTGCAAACCATGGCTGTCACTTTGGTGCCGGTCTCATTTTAGGGATCATTCGACCGATAGCCTAACTTCAATTTGTTAGCATGCATAATTCGTCCTTGTTTTCACGAAGTGACGGTAGTGAGGAAAATCGTCACGCAAAGTGAATGCAATTTTTTTCACTACCGTCACTTCGTGAAAACACCGACGAATTGGTCGCTAAGCATATTATTACCATAACAACGGAATCCACGAGAGATCTATATATCACCAACATTTGATAAAGCTGCATCATTTGAAATCACTAGTCATTGCATGATGATAGCATCATCTCACTATATTCCCGTTGTTAAGAAGAAGACAGCCCCTAGTAATTAAAGTTGCTAATTTAAGGAATATCAAACCGCGCTATAACTCTTTTATATACAGGGTGAGTCAGAAAAAATGTCCCACTTTTTAAAAGTTGTATTGTTTGAAGTATGAATATTTAATTGTGGGTTTCATGATATGTCTTGATTGAGTTATCCTCCCAGTACATTTAAGTACCATTTTCATTTGAATCCCTTCATGCATGACTGAACATCAGACAATCTTTACAAGACTGCCATATTTTACTTGCGCCAACTTACTGGGTGAGGAATAAAACAGTGCATTGAACAAAGACAGTCAGACAGATAGACAGACACACACACACATACACGCACAAAAACACACACACATACGCAAACACGCACAAACACACGCACTTGACACACACGCACACACACACACATGCACACACTCACACACAAATACCGCAAACGTCGGTGAATAAAAACACAAACAATTTTTGTATTTGTTGAGGTATTTTATTGTGATACAACAATGAATCTGTTTCCCAAAAGTTCTCCATCAACCGTACTCAATCCTCGACGTGGCCGCCATTCCTCCTGATGCACAGTTGTGCACGGTGAAGCATTCCTTGAAAAGCTCGCCGGGTCATGTCCCCATCTTGGCGTACCACGTCTGTCTCGTCCACAATTCTCCTTCAGAGCTCCTCGATGTTCACAGGTGGGCAGCTGAAGATCCTTGACTTCAAGTGCCCCCACAAGAAGAAGTCGAGAGGAGTGAGCTCTGGTGATCTCGGAGGCCACTCAAGTTCCTCATTCAAAGAGCTGACGTAGGCGGTCAGTGACGATCCTTCGCCTGTGTGCTGGGGCACCATCTTGTGCCCACCAAAGGTGCCTGAATTGGCCGTTTCGTTGACTCGCGAATCGAGGCATGTGGTCCGGAGTAGGAACAACCTGGTCGTCGATCATGTTCATGTAACGTTCTCAGTTCACATTGTTGTCATAGATATACGGCCCAACTAGCGTTCCATTCCCAACAAGGCCTACCCAAACTATTATTTTTTTGTCGGGAATTCTTCTTCTCGTACGAAAAGTTGAGTGGCCGCTGTCCGCTTGGTACGTATTGCCGGGTTTTGTGCGTGTTAAGGGAAGTGTTGAGCGAAAACAGGCTTCATCACCGATGAATAGATCTTAAACAAAGCGAGGAGGTCTTTGCATTAGCCAGTTCGAAAAGGCTATCCTTCGTTCGTGGTCCCTTGCAAGGAGCTCATGCCTACGTATCGTCTGGTACGGTTGATATCGTAAGTCAAGCCGGGTGTTACGATTGAAGGTGCTCTCGGTCAGCTGAAGCCCGTTCCTCCGAGTTGAGATCCTTTGGTTATTGTGAACGTGCTCCAATACTTGTTGAACTGCATCGATGTTGGGCTGACCTCTTCCTGTTCTCCGACGACCTGAATGTCCTGCATTGAGGTTGGTACTCGTTCCTGTTCGGTGGTATTTCTGAATATTGCGGAGAACAGTCTTTTTGCCGGACACCGAACATCTGGGTAACGACGGCGGAACTCTAGCAACACAACGGCTACACTCTGAGTTCTCGCATATGCCTAGGTCACATATAAACCGGGCCCCGTACGATTTTCCCTACCCGGCGGCTTGCCGTGGATTTAGAGACCGTACGCGAACCGTCCGATTTTCATTTCTACGGCATGTGTGGTCACATATTCCGCTCCTCCTGTATTTAAAACTGCGTTTTACATTTCCAGATGCCGCCGTGAGGGACTCGCACGGGCAATATTCATTTTAAATGGCCCCTGGACGGCAGACGCCTGTTGTTGTGCATATCACCTGGGGCTCTTAAGGGGCGCATGAGGGAGTCGTAGGGTACACGTACGGGACCCTTGAGCACCGCAAGGCGCATGTAAAGATTTTTCATGAGAATTGACCCCCAAAATCGTGAAGGGCCTGTCCGGGCACCGCCCGGAGCCCGCATGGGACCCATAAGGTGCCCTACGGGTCCTTTACGGGCTTTCTACGGCCTAACGGTCAGATAAAAACGCCGGGAGAATTGGAAGCAGCCAACTCAGCACCACGGCGCCCGTAGGAATTTTACGGCAACCGGCCGGACACCGGCCGAAAATTCCCAAAATGTCTGTTTTTACTCGCCGTACGGGCCTCGGAGTGTATTGTGAAAGCCCCAGTACTCGGTGACCAAAAATGACCTATGTTGTGGTGTAAACTGAGGACGAACCATAATGTGTGTACTATTGCTACTAAACAGAGGCTCAATTGACTGCTGCCAAATCAGGTAAACCCATTTCTAGGCAAGTGCAACAGAAGCACAGATATCCACTGTAAGTTGTCATTGTTAACCACCAAAAACCAACGATTGTTTAATTTACCTACGGATTGAGATAGCACATTGGATTCATGTGCACTTCATGATGATGGTGATGATGATGATGATAATGATGGGGATGATTAAAATTAAGATGATGACAATGGTGATGATATGATGATGGTAGTGAATGTGTACTAAAGGGAAAGATTGTAATCTTGAGATTGAAATGCCACTTAAACATTCAGGGATCTTGATAAAAATCAATGCTTCATCAGAAAAGGGGAAATTATAAGACAATTGTAACCGTGTGTGTTGCCTGTGTTTGTGTGTGTGTGCGTCTGTCTGACTGTCTTTGTTCAATGCAATGTTTTATTCCTCACCCAGTAAGTTGGCGCAAGTGAAATCTTATGTTCAGTCATGCGTGAAGGGATTCAAATGAAAATGGTGTGTGCGTGTGCCTGTGCATGAGCTGTGTGTGTGTGTGTGTATGCGTGCATGCATGCGTGTGCTTGTGTTTGTGTGTTTTTGTCTGTCTGGCTAATTGGATAATTGAAAAAAAACTGGCTGTCTTTGTCCAAAACATTATTTTATTCCTCATCTGGCAACTTGGCGCAAGTGAGATCTGGCAGTCTTGTAAATATTGTCTGATGTTCAGTCATGCATGCAGAGATTCAAATGAAAATGGTACCTAAATGTACTGGGAGGATAACTCTATCAAGACATATCATGAAACTCCTGATCAAATAGTCATACTTCAAACAATACAACTTTTAAAAAGTGGGACATTTTTTCTGACTCACCCTGTAGAAAAACATTGAAATTACAATATCGATTCAATATCTACCATTTTTATAGACAGTTTGAAATCTTTAATGCAGAAGCAGCGTAGCGTATTTTGAACTCAGGGAGGGGGGGGGGAGGGGAGGACATCAACCAAAAAAAGACACTTTCTGGAAAAATGGACAACTTGAAAGCCCCCGCCCCCCAAAATGTAATACATTATCAGGAGTTATTTTCAAGATTTCTTTCTGTATTTCGTCCAAGAAACTGTTTCGGCACCATACTTTACGGCTGCGCAAGCGTCGCGACCGATTACAAAAAGATGAGAAACGTTTGAGGTTACATAATGACCGATATTGTTCTCATCATTATAATGTAATGAGCCTGTTAATGGGTCGGTGACAACAAGTTCAGAAACAAAATGAAAACGAAAGAAGCTCGGATATACGGTTGAAGTCCAAGTCAGCCGGAGCTCCAGTAGTTACAAACGAAGATTAATTAATTTAGAACATTTCAAATAAGCTGCTTCTCTCAGAGGCTGGGCGGCCCTATAGACAGTAAAACTAACAGCACATCCTAAACATGGTAACGGAATGAAATAAAACTCACCGCAATATCCCGCACATGGCATTTAAATACCCGAAAAGGCTGAGATATCACATGATATACCCAGCCAACCAGAAGAACCCTTACGAAGCCAACCAATTACAAGACGGGATATATAAAATTACCCTTAGGTCATCCGACCAATTAAGAGAGGGGTTATACCTTTAATTCATTATAACCAATGACAAAGCATAATAGATAAGAGTGATTTGAACTAGTCACCGACAAAAATGGGAGGAGTCTATCTCTTCGCGAGAATGTCAGGTTCCCGGAAAAACAGTCTATTGTCTAACGTGTTATCGGAAATGAACACCTGTACATCTTAATGCAGGAATTCATTTCCAACGTGCTCATCGAAATGAACATTTTAATCTAATGCAAGAATTCAAAACCAGGGGTTGTTTACCCGTTCACGGTAC